AAATACCATACCTTCAAGGATTAAGTATATTAAGCATTTTCTCAAAGGGTTCTGTTACATTAAAAGAGTAGTTTGCAGATAAATTGCTTAATCAAAGTTAATAAAAATGCTGAGATGATTCAGTTGGGAAGAAATGTTTCAAAGACTTTCATTTAATTGTTCCTGTAAAAATGCATGTGTCTGTAGTAGTCAGATGATTATCCAGCACACAGCTGGATAAACACATCATGTGATGGGTGAGCAGCTGGCTCATGGGTCAGGTGCAAGGGGTTTCAGGGAATGGAGTGACTGGTGACCTGTCCCGAGTGGGGTTCCACAGGGCTCCATTGTAGGCCCAGTGCTCTTCAACATCTTCATAAACAAGGCAGGACTGGAAAGTATACTAACTAAATTTGCCAATGATGCTAAACTGGGAGGAGTTGTTCACTTCTTTGAAGGCAGAGAAACCCTGCCTAGACCTCAACAAATGAGAGGACAGGGCAATCACCAGCTATATGAAATTATAAGGGCAGGTGCCAGATTCTGAACCTGGGATGGTGCAATCCTGGATGTAGAGACAGACTGGAGAAGGAGAGGCTGGAAAGCAGTGCCAGGAGAGGGACCTGGGGGTCCTGGTTGATGGCAAGTTGACCATGGGTCGGCAGTGCCCTGGCAGCCAGGAGGGCCAGCCCTGTCCTGGGGGCATCAGGGACAGCATGGCCAGCTGGGCAAGAGAGGGGATTGTCCTGCCCTGCTCTGAGCTGGGGCAGCCTCACCTCAAGTGCTGGGGGCACTTTTGGGTGCTGCAATATAAGCAACACATTAAATTATTACAGAGAATCCAGAGGAGGGCAACAAAGGTGGTGAAGGGCTTTGAGGAGAAGCTGTATGAGGAGTGATTGAGATCACTTGGTTTGTTCATCCTGGAGATGGGAGTCCGAGGGCAAACCTCTTTGCAGTTACAACTTCCTCATGAGTAAGAGGAGGAGCAGCACTGATGTCTCTGGTGATCACTGACAAGACTTGAGAGAATGGCCTGAAGCTGTGCCAGGGAAGGTTTATATTGGATATTAGAGAAAGGTTCTTCACAAAGAGGGTGGTTGGACACTGGAACAGGCTCCTCAAGGAAGTGTCACAGCATCACTCCTGACAGAGTTCAGGAAGTGTTTGGATAATACTCATGGGCAAATGGTGTGACTCTTGGGAATGTCCTTTGTGGGGCCAGAAGTTGGACTTCGATGATCCTTGTAGGTCCCCAACTTAGGTTATTCTATAATTCTATGACAGCCATATCTTGAGTCAGTTATTCTGATGGAAAAAAACCAAAACCAAAAACAAACCCAAAAACCAACCAAACAAAAAACACAAACAGACAAAAAAAAAAAAAAAGCCCAAAAAACGCCCAAACCTCTTTAACCAGCATTTTTTAATGAAGAAAATAAAAACTTAAAAGAAGTGTTTGGTGAAGTATTGGATTGTGGGTCTGTTTTGGACTTTTCTTTCGTTCATTTATTCTTACATATTTATACTTTGAGGTTTTTTAATGCTAATAGAAAATATGTATTAGAATCCCAAAAATACAATTTGGAGATATGTAGAAAAAGTAGGATGTGTATATGCCCCCACATTCACGTGTATGTGTGCATATGTGCCTATGGACACATCTGTGTGTGTATGTGTTCATGTCTATAGATTCCTATACAGTGATTTAAGTATTGTAGGTTGGAATAGGATATGTGAAATACAAATTCTTATGTGGCTATTGTTATAGGAGATTAAGCACCTCTTGAATCTATTCAATTTATCAGCCACCTTAGAAAGGAAGAAGCCATTTTCTATTATATAATGGAGAAAGTGAAGCAGAGGTTCAAACTTGCACTTACGTGCCCCACATGCAAAAAAGAAGGAAAAAAAGTTGCCAGATGAATGTGAAACACAAGCCTTCAAAGCTGATGCCTACTGAAGGAACATCTAAAGAGTGTTACAGAGATAAAAAGACTAAAATCAAATTGTTTCAATGCTAGAAAACAAACCACAAGTTAATCAATTAAAAATAAACAGTACCAAATCCATAAGGGTTAAAAGATCCATGGAGAGATATTAATTACAATGCTCTCCTCTCCAAAATGCCCTTAATGCTGACTGCCAAAAGCTAAAAGGCTGTGCAAGTAACAGAATTTTTGCCCGGCTTTTTTAAAAAACTTTTCTTAAGCATTTAAATTGGCTCCAGACAGAGAGGAAACATTAATTAGCTGGAAGCTTCATCTGATTTTGTGTTATCATTTTTCTGTTAGGTCTACATATGCCTGTGTTTTCACCAGGAGAAACCCTGGTGTAATACAGAGAGCCCTCAGCATTCTCAGAGCTTCATTCTTCTCACGTCCTTCCCTTTTAGATCCTTTGAATTTCTTTGCTGTTGTCTGTTCCACTCAATTTCATCCATCTGATTCTTCTTGCTTTCTCTGCGCATCCTTTCAAGACATATGAAAATCTGCTGCAGAAGGAGTACACCAGAGAAATCATTGTTTGGATTATTTTTTTCCCTGTTTCCTTGTTGATTTCACTTCAGGGACATTATATCAGGTGAAGGCAAATAGCTCAATGTGTGAGTATCTACAGGTATTCCTTCAGAGTAAAGTATCCAGCAGTAATGTATCAGAGACGACATTCAATAACCTTTTGGCTGATTTACAAAATGACAAATGCAGGTTTTAAATGAGGCTATCTTCTGTGGGTCTTGCAAGCATCCATGCAACTCTACATAATGTCACCAACATATAATGCTCCCTTTTTCAACATGCCTGTTGCCGTTGTCCTTTGAGACCTTTGTAGTCTGAACATAAGTGTAGGAACATAAGATCTGGCTGCAGTTTGTTCCTGTCCTCTTGGGTCAGTTTGGGAGTTACTTGCTCTCTTGGAATGCATGGGAAGCAAATCACTTTTTTTTATCCTTTCAGGGAAGAAAGGCAAGTCTGCACCATAGAAGGGGCTACACAGCTTTCTTAGTATGGTTATTTGATGAAGGATGAAGTGGATGTATCCTATGCAGCAATCCATTTGCTCTTTTAAATTTACAGCTTGTGTATTTATTTTCCATGTCTGAAATGAAGTATATTGCTTTTCAAGGGATAAACAAGAGAACAATATACTGCAGTGATAAGGCTGGGATCTTTAGAGGCTTCTGGCTGAAGTCTAAGCCAGAACTATGATCACCAAAGTGTTTATAAAATGTAACTTAAGCAGTGAAACAAAGTTAATATACTAAAGAAGTTAAAGCCCTCTTTGTACCTATACTTCCTTACAGAACAGCAATAATGAATTTGGCAACCAGAAGTCCCAGTCTGTTTTGGTTTATCCCTACTATTTTATTCTCTTCTCACTTATGTTAGTCCCAAATCTTATCTTCCCAGATTCTTTCCAATCAGTCCTCTTTATTGACCATAATCATAACTCCTCAGCTCTTTCCTCCCAGACATTGCCTGTTCTGTCTCACCTCTGTTCCTCAGTTTTGTTTTCCTGTTCACTGTCATCCCTTCCAGTTTCTTTATTACTGTGCCATTTCTCCTCATTTCTGCCTGCAGTTCTCATTCCAGCTGGGTATCAACTCCCATTCTTGCTATTAATGTCAGAGTAAACTCTTCTAGTTCTGCCTATTTTGTCTCCTCTATAAATAATTTTACCCATCTCATTTCTTTGTGAATATGTCTCCCTTAATGTCTAGTCTCTTTGTACCAGGTCTTTCAGTTTTGACTTCTTTATCTTCTCTCCAGTTACATTATGTACCATAATTCATTGATTTACAAGATTTTTCTTTCTTGACCAGCTATCCGCATTCTCTCTGGAAATTATTGTCTCTCCTTTTTCTACTCTTTCACTTACAAATTTGTACCTTAGTTCTGGTTTCTTCCACTTCTTGTCCAAAAATAATGCAGAGTGCAGGTGTGACTCATGCCTTGCCTGCATTTTAAAAAGGCTGCCTGCATCCAGAAAAGATGGGAATCTTACTAAGAGACAGAACAGAGTCTCTGTTCTTTTTGATGTGTGTGCCTGGCACAGTCCATTCCAGCCTGAAGGCACTCAGTTTCAGCCAGGACATGGTCAGTGCAGTTTAACACAGAGATTCAAAAAGTTCTGATTAAGGTAAAACAGCATTCATATCCTGCACATCTGCAAATGCTCTGCTTTTACTATAAAAGTGTATAATGGCATATTGTGTTGTGTACTATACATCCTTCTTCCTGTTTTAGGTTGGATATGGCATGGGAATTGTTTATAGAACATTGTGATATGATAGAAAATATTTTTAATTGATTTTGCTATAGACCCTGGTATTTGTAGTGTTTATGAAGAGCCTTTTCTTAAACACTCCTTTCAATAATTTCATAGTGCATCTTTTCACTATCTTTTCCATAATATTTATAACTTTGCAGAAACTTCAGCTGAGTTTTTTTCTCCATTGTTGAAGAGAAATTCAGTAATTTACTTTGTTAGTAGAATTGATTAACTTCTTTTTTGCAGTGAACCTTGGAGGTTTAGGTCCTAAATTATTTCAGATTCTGTGTTATTCAAATAACATTTGTAGCTGGGAAGGAAAACAAACCAACCAAAAAAAAAAAAAAACCAACCAAAAAAAGTGAAACAAAATAAAAAAAAAGCAAACATACACACAAAAGGTAAAAAAATCCCCAAGCTTTTTTAGCTCTTATGATTTATTGCTTTATAGTAGTGCATGTGTATTTGCAAAATTGCCACTGAGGTTGTACCTAGTTCTTTATTTGTCTTTATTTAAAGGCTACATCTGTGTAAAGGAGTGGAAGGAAAAATTACCTATATACTAAAATACGCATTTTTATTTTTAAGAAGTGTGAGGGAATAAATGCTTTAAAAAACTTCCAAGAAAAAAGCACCATCTAAAAGCATTCAATCTTTTGTTTTGTCTTTTACTATGCAAAGTGTAATGATAAGAATAAATTACATTAACAATCTGTTTATTATATTTTCCATCTGTTCTTACACACCAGGAGGAAGATGGGGCTCCTTTTACTTCTAATAATTTGCCAGTGTGCCATAAACAGTATCAAAACACACAGTGTTTCAAAGCCCAATATAATTTTACTGATGGCTGATGATCTTGGTATTGGAGACCTGGGATGTTATGGGAACAAAACCTTAAGGTAGGATGATAATTTGGTGGAGTCATAGCTTTATATTTAGTTTTCAATGGATTTTCAAAATTAAAAATCTCAGACCCTTCAGAGGTTTGATTTAGGCTATTTTATGAGTAACTAAAGTTAGTAACTTTTCCAGGGATTTAAATATTCAAACCTTATTTTCTTTTTTTGACCAAAGACTTAGCTAATGCAGTTATGCTGCTGAAAAGTTGCATTAGAAACAGAGGATTGAGCAACCAACCAAATAAGGGTTGGTTGGTTTGTTGGTATAACGATTATACTTAGCTCTAGAGAGCTAAAGTATAATCAACAATTTTCTTCTAGAATAGACATGACACAAGTACTATGAATTAAATGTATTTTGAAGCAGTCTCGATTTGGGACAAGCTTGTTGTTAACTAACTGGAAATAAAAAGCTGATATTTGCCCTTAATTTATCTTCATACAGTAGTCAATGTATTAATTAAAGCAAATGTTAATATACTTGAATAATACATCATTGTGCCCTGGGATGTTTCTTGCTACCAGCTTAGATGTGATGGTTGTGTAAACAGAGCAAGTGATATCTAGACATTGTGTTTCAGTGGTGCAAAGTTAAATAAAACATTCAGACTAAAAGCCCTGTCTGTCAAATGTTAAATGCTCTTTTTCCTGCTGATGTTAGTTAGAAGTAAAATCTTCTCATAACTCAAAAAAAAAATACAAATCAAGTTACTGCTTCTGGTTTTAAACAAGGAAAAATATATAGAGCATTGATGCTTGGATCACTTCCCTCACAGGCACCAGAACAACCTCAAGATCTATATTCTTTGCTGAGAAAATTCAGAATTTGATTTTTGGAATATGATGAATTTTCATCTTAGCGATTGTTATCAGTAGATTACTTTACAGGTAGAAAATAATTCCATTGGAAAATTAATGTTTCTGACTACTCAGACTTAGATGATGGGAGCACTAGTGTGCCTTGAGGTCATGGTCATTAATCTCCAGGGTCAGAGAGCTATTAGAGCATGCTGCAGCTGCTGGCCAGTCTGCATTTGTAATTTTTATCTGTAGAACCAAGGACACAGGATTTCTTCCTGCGGGACCCAATTTTAATCTGCATGGTGAGCCAGTTCACAGACAAGTTTCCCATACAGATATGGAAGCTAGGTTGTGCCCCTGGGTCGATTATAGCAGACATAATCATGTCAGACATGTAGATATTGTTAATATAGAACATAACGCAGAGTCATAATCATTTAAATCTCTTCTGATAGCTTATAGCACTACACAACATTATCCCTACCCCAAAAAGCTTTTGCTGGAGAGAGACTGAAGAGGCACCAAGTAGGGAGCAAGGAAGCACAACCTTTCTCTAGTCTCTCTTACCCTCATTACTGAAGCAAAAATGTTGTAAAAATTACAGTTCTGGTCAAGGAACAGATTAAAAAGGTTGCAATACTATATGTCCAGATGTTGCAGTTTAACATTGGCCATGAGGAATAGAAGAAAGTGGAGGAAAAGATTTTTGCTGCAATGTTACACGGTCTCTGTTCAGATGCCTCATGTAAAAATATTTTACATGATAGTATTCGCAATTGCAACCCCATCATGCATTTGATAATTTACATACAGTAAATTTTAACTGGATTTTCCTGATAGTTCTTGCCTCAGATGCCTTGTTCTTACCATGTCTGTATCCAAATAACCAGCTTTGGGGTTTTTTTTTCACCTGCTTGTGTTTTCCCAGAACCCCTAATATCGACAGGCTAGCAGAGGAAGGAGTGACACTTACTCAGCATATAGCAGCAGCCCCACTTTGTACTCCAAGCAGGGCAGCTTTCCTGACTGGAAGATATCCTATAAGATCAGGTAAAATCCCATCACTTTATTTATATATAATTGTTTTATTTTATTTACAGTAAACTGTATGCAGGTATTTTGTCTGGCCTTCCTTGATTTGTTTATTATTATGAGATTAAGTAATGGTAAATGATCAGTCCTTTCATTGACGGATCAAGCTCAGCAGAGTTGGTCTACATTAGAAGTATTTCATATATATGGGGAATTTTCACATTTCAGAAGAGTTGACCCAAAAATAAAGTTTATTTAGTGAGTAATTTTTTTTTGTTTAAATAGCAACAAAACAATCTGGCTGTGGTTATTTAATGCCAACATTTAATCCAATGTCCTGGACTGTATCAGGCACAACATTACCAGCCAGGCAAGGGAGGGGATTGTTGAGGGCACATGAGCTGCTCTGTGCTAGGGTGGCCTCACCTCAAGTGCTGTGTGCACCAAATCTGACAGAGTTCAAGAAGTGTTTGGACAATACTCTGGGGCACATCGTGTGGCTCCTGGGGATGTCCTGTGAAGGGCTGGATGTTGAATTCATAGATCCCTGTAGGTCCCTTCCAACTCCTCCACTATGCAATGACCCCAGGCTCTTTGCCTGCCTCCACAGTTGTATTCAGGCTGCTCCCTCTGTGTTGGCGGGCAGCCCAAGTATTGAACACCACAGAGATGCATCTAGAGAGACTCAGTGGGAGAACCCAGTGTAAATACTTCTTCTCAGACATTTTTATTTCTGCTAAACCTTTCTGTTTAGACTGATGCCTCAGGTTTTAGCTTTTCTGCTTTTCAGAGTATATTCTGCTTTAGTGTGTAAGTCTAGGCTTTATATTAGGGGATAGTAAGCTCTCTCCACAGAATAGCAGACAAAACAATTCCTTCTCTAGCTGGGGACCCAAGGATAACCAATCCAGATCTCAGGCCCAATAGCATAAACAACAGTGGACTGAAGAGAGAAAAAAGAGAAAAAGCAAGAAGGATGGGACTTCATGGGCTAAAGATGTAATTGGACAATTAGCTCCAATATGCTAATGGACCAAAACTTATAAAAATGTGAGACCTGTTACCCATTTTGTGGCCATTTTGGGTTGTGCTGCCCAAGGTGGATCTATTTGAGGCCTTTCAAAATGCCTACTTTACTTTAGCTCCATCTAGCCTCTGTTCTAGGTCAGCCTTCACAAGGCATCAGGACAAATTGTTGGGTTTGTGTTTTTTGTAGGGAGGAGGTAGGGGCAGGACAGTTCATTAAAGTACTCAAGTTGCCCTGAAAACTGGGAAGAAGAGAGTAAAAAATATCTCAACTATTTGAAGTGTTATTTTTGTTCCATATCTACTCATACACAGCACTAAGTACCCTGTGAATAAATGCGTTTAATTTTTCTTACTTTCAAAGTACCTGATCCAAAGCCTATTTGAGTCCATGAAGATCTAGTCTGTTTATTTTAGTGTGCTGGGACTGAGCCTCTCAGTGCTTAGCCATGCAACTTTAACATTCCCTTAACATCATTTTTAGCAAGGATCATTATACATTAATCAGATCACTTGTTCATTAGTGATAAAACATCCTGTCCTTGCTTCTGGGAATGAAAGCAAAGCAAGACTCTGGAGCCTACTTGATACGTTCGTGTTCACTCAAATCAAGTAACAAGCTTCTGCAAAAGTGCCAGCTAATATAACTTGCTAAATTTTCTGTTAAATTCATCTGCAAAGGAAAATTTTATATCCTGTTACAGATATATTGCTATTATCATTTACTGTAGCTAAAGTCACAAGGTCACTTTCCATTATGTTACTTGTTCTTATTTCTGAAAAATTAAGACTTGAACTAATCTTTTTCTACACTGATCAGCTCTCAGACACACTTAATCATTTCCATGTAGGTACAAAAATTGAACTTTGTCTTACTTAAGTTACAAAATTTCTAAATATGGACTGCTTCTGAATATCAGTGAAGAACTAGTAAAGGCTTATTATAGAAGACACTAGAATCATGATATGGAAAAAATGTTAGAAATATAAATCTCCTGATAATAGAGCTAAAGAAAACATTTCCAAAATGTTGTATTGGATGAGACACAAGCTCAGAGAAAGGTAATGATGAAAATAAATAGAATGCTTCTGTGCTTTCATTCTGATAACTTAATGGAATTACACTGATTTCAGTTACAAGAGCTTGAAATATGTAAAAAAATATAAATAAGAAAAATATAGATAAATATATGACTGAAGCTATCTGAAGCATTGATCAGCAAAACTATCTGGGGTGAAAAGCTGAAGTCAGCATTTGAAGGGTAGGTTAAGCTGTCTTTAATAAACCAGTCTAACGAGTCATTTTCTCATGTAACCACAAGGGATACCTGAGAGAGGATTCTGGTTGTCTATATCAGTCATGTAACTTGGGCACAGTTGCATAATTTAGACTTCCTGAAGATACATCTGCACAGATTTGCATAGATATTCTCTGTTCTTACTGTCTATTTTCAGTGCCAGCTCTCATCTGGAATCTAGTAATCTAATTTTCATGAACCTGAGCTCTCAAGTTCCTCATCCTGAGTGCACTTTGTAAGCTCATTTGTGTTTCTCAGACTCTTAGCATATAGAAATTACTGTGCCTTATTTAGATGTTGTCTTTTTAGCCAGTACCTGATGCTCCTTTAGTGCGCTCCTTCAGTGTGCATTGAATGATGTGTCTTCATGCCACCGGAGCACCCATCAATGCTGACAGCTCAAACCACTCTATTTACAGGATCGGATTTTCTCTTGCTCTTTCTGACCTCATGATATTTACATGCCCAGAAGTAAGACTGCCCTATTTCAATATGACTTCTCTCAAAAAACCTTAAAGGCTTGTAGAAAACCACATATGAGGACGGGAAATTCTCAAACTAGAACTTGGGAATGATCTCACTTAGTCCTCATCTTCCTTCCCTCCCTGGGTATAGGAAAAATAAATTATGCAAGCTCAACTTCTTAAAATTTTGCTATACCTTAGAAAATCTACAGAAGGGGCTGCAGCTCTTTATGTGATGGCTGGCCCCATGGTTATAAGCTCAGATTTTTTTCTCCATGTCTGTTTTTGGTGTCAATACAGGAAATACCTCACTCATTTAAATGGATGATTATATCTTCTACTTGCAGCACTTAGTGTCTGATTGTAATATGTCATTTAAGTGATACCACCTAAGGCAAAAAGTGCATGCTGAATTAATGAATGGAAATTCTTTTTTTGTATTATCTTGGTCTCATTCATTTTTATTGTATTTAGGAATGGCTGCCTTCTCACGTGTCGGTGTCTTCTTATTTTCTGCCTCTTCTGGGGGACTTCCTTCTGAAGAAATAACTTTTCCCAAACTCCTGAAGCAGAAAGGTTATGCAACAGCTCTAATAGGTAAAATTGCAGACATGCGCAGCTCTGTTTCCTTTCATTTCAATGAAAAGAACATTAACTTCCTGTATAGGCTTTTGAGGGCCTGCATTAAGCTTTTCTGCCCCACAGCATAATGAATTTATTTTTCTGGAACAAAGCTGAGGACATTCCCATGCCTGTGTGAAACACTAGTCAGGTAAGTATGTCTAATTCACTTGTGTAGTTATAGTCTCATTTTGCACAGTACTGAAGAAACATGATGAACAAACTGAAGATTATTTAAGCTCTTGAAAAGTTTTCAATATAAAAAGGACTTTGATTACATCAGAGAGACAATGAGGGGTTGATCACAGGGTTACAAGTCAGCACTGTGCTTGTTTTTCACCATTGTTAAATTCCCATACAGTAAATAACGTTGTACCTGGGTTGCCATCTAGGTCATCAGACAAAAATGGATTTTTCTAGGAAATTTTTCATATCATTTGGTAGATATTTCATATAAAAACGTATTCCTCTCTTATTACAAAGATAGTTCAGACAACTGATCACAGCATAAATATCCAGTGATGGGCAAAAGGAATCACACTAGGTTAATATTAAATAGAATTGAAATTAATGTCATAAAAGTATACCATTAAAGATTTCTGATTTTTTTTTCTTAATTTGGCCACTGACTTATTTCACACTGCTTATATTTTAGAAGATTCTTGAAAAGTTCAATTTGTATTACATAATGTGTTTCTGTACTGAAATTGCCAGGGAATAGTTGTGCAGAGAACATCACACTGAAATATTACTCAATTGATTTAGATGAAGGATGCATGCAATTTGTTTTTTAAATGAAACAGAAACTTGCAATTTTGAGAGTAATTTTTGTTTAAAAACCCAGGATGTTTAGCAAGGCTAACAGTTCATGCCAGTGTTCAGAAAATGTCTGTATTGTGTAGATAAACCAGTGTCAGCATTCTAACTAAAAATCCTACTTAGCTATATCTCAGTCTTATAAAGCATAAAATACCATGATGTCCTGAAAGAATGAAAATAGAAAACCAGAAATTCTTATCAGAAATGTATTTAATGTACGTGTATTTCAACCATAGTTCAAATAGTTCATAGTTTGAACAAAAAAGCTGTTCATAATTTGTACTTGTTCCTTGTGGACTTGATTTCTATTTCTCTGTATTCAATTAAAGACTGGGTTTTTTCTGTTTGTAGCAAGCACAGTAATACAACTCATTTTCTGGGGCTGACCCAGTTAATGTTCTTTTTTTAACTACTTTTACAGCAGCATGACAGCTTGCCACTTAGATCTCCAGAAGTTCTCTCCATGATGCTTAATGAACAATTCTTCCAAGTGGCCTGAGTGATAGCTATGAGATCACAAAATGTAATATTACCATATCCTTAGAGTATAATGAAGGTTTCCAAAAATCAAGAAGTGCATTAAAATTAGGGATAAATCATATGTAAATGATAGAAAGAAAAATTATGTAGATTTGAAGACTAGATAGACAGTCTGATTCACAACCAGCATATTTTCTGCTTTTGCTGGTGTTCTTATCACATCATATTGGTCTAGGTCAGGGAGTCTTTGCTTGATTCAATCTAATTCTGCAATTCTCAAAGAACTAATTGTCAAATCCTGCACCAGTGATGGATTGGCATAAGGTTAATTTGAAGCCTTTCTGATCCTCAAACCTGTAGTGTCATTTCTACTTTTTTGGTGAATCTCCTCTCTGATGACAGTATTTTTCTTCCCTAGGTGCATTTTTGTTTCTTTTTAAATGTTTTTTTCTCCTCTGAATACGTGTTTTCTTTTGTTTGATATGTCCCTAAATATATTTTATCTGTAAATCTACTTTATGTATACACTTTTCTACCTCATTGTTTTCCCCTGTGACATAAAGAAGGTGACAACCAATAGATCTGTCAGGAAGGCACACAATCAGATCTGCAACAAAAGAGTTCTATCAAAAAAGCAGATGCATAGAATACATAATATTTCACCAGTTGGAAGAAATGCTGATGTTTTGTTGGAAATAGCTATTCGTAATGAAAAAATTCCCCTTACATTTGATAGATAGTGTTTTAACTACTGCTATACTCAATTACAGTAAAGGTTAATTTCCTCACTGCTGCTATCCAGTGTGTTGTCCAGCATCCAGAGAAGTTTAAAATCCACCTATGTAGCTGATCTCCAATGCTAAAATACTAATTGATAACTGGTACTTATTTCTTTCAGAATTAAGTATTTTAATGTTTGGGCACATCACAGTAGTAAGGTGTCCAAGATTGACTGAGTCTATGGAGTGGAGTTAGTACAACAGTTATTCATAAAACAGGCTAGAATCTGTCCATGTGAATACCATATGTACATACACTTTTTATAAATTTTGCTGTGTATTTCAAATAAATATATTTCCTAAGAACACAAAATATTTCTGTTTGCATCTTGCTCCACATCTTGTATCTTGCCATTTATCTGAAAAGCACAGAATCATTCCAAAAGAAATACATCACTACATAAAAATCAGTCTTTGTACCAAAACCACTACAGTATTTTTCCTTTTTCTGCTATCTGAGGGAAAAATACAGGGGAAACATGGATTTCTGTAGTGTCCTTAGGATTCTGCATTTTGAAAAATGGAGTTTTGAGTGAAATTTCTTGGCTGAATAGGACTTGCTTCTCGCTTCCACTTGCCTTTCATTGCATTGCTTTCATTCTGCAGAAGTTTTAATTGTGGCTGATGGAGAGGGAAAAAAGCCTAGGTCTCAAATTATTACGGTACTCATAATCTACAATTAACAGCATAAATTTCACTCAAAAAACAGATTGGTAGAATCTGTTGAAATGCTTATGATGCTTATGTGAAGTGTCCATTCTATGAAGCATCATTTGGCAAAGAGATGAGAGCATTTTGCATTGCTCTCAGATTCAGAAGGGCCCCAGAATCTAAAGCACATTACAGTAATCTGTTCAAGCACTAGCTCAAGGCAGGGGTTATTGTCACAAGGAGTGAAGCAAAGCATGTATTGTGCACCCAGCCATCACTTGCCTGTTCAGAGTAATGCAGGGTCTATCAAAACCTTCTACCTGCCCAGCCATTTGAGAATGGCAGTTGTGTCATTCTGTCACAGCTCCCGATATCATTTGAGCAGGGGCTTTTGCTGCTTTTCTTGCTAACCTGATCTCTGCTTTGCTTGGCTTAAGTTGCTTCTCAACAAATCTTTTTCTGAGGCCCAAGTTTGTCTTGACATTGAAGAATTTGTTGTACTTGCTAAAGAAGCCCTTTAGATAAAAATGGGACTTTTATTTCCTCCTGCCCTAATTTGTTATTGCTAGGTTTTTCTATCCTGGATTGTAGTTGAGATCCAGTTAAAAAAATCCACTACATATCATAAAAAGTGACCTTGAAGGTATACTTAATTTGTTTTAGTTTCTTTTTCATATTTTTGTGCTAAATTATAGGTACTTTGAGATTAACATATAATAGCAAAGAAAAAAAATATTAAGCCAGAAGAGCATTTATATTCATGATTATAAGCCTCTACCTTTAAATCACTTATCTAACTTGATGACAGTTTTTTCATGCTCATTGTGTTGCACAGCTAATTTATAATTATTCCATTAAGAGACTCATTCAAATATAAGAGAAAAAACTGAAGCATTTCTTTTCAAAAATCTGCATCTTTGGGTGCTGGGAATGAAAATCAGAGTTCCAGCCTTACCTAGCCCTTTATAGAACCTATATCGTCTTACATTACAGTAAAATGGTTTGTACTGCTTGTTTTTTTAACTGACTACAGTAATTTTTACTGGACCATGTCAAAAGTAGTCACCAGAACCGTTCTGTGCAGAATACCACCAGCATAATACCACTTCAGGTGAGGGGCTATCTGACAGGGAAAAGTTCTGATGGAATGAGAAATGTGTAGAGGCCTTAATTTCACTGGCACATAAGCAGACATGAAAATGTTTTATACCTGCTTTGATGATATACAGAAGTTACTTTTAACTTAAGACCATCAAGATACATATTGAGGACAATTGCACTCAACTAATCACTCAGATTCAAGATTTTTGCTTTTTCTCCACCTTTGCTGAAAGACAAACACTTAGGCATATGACGTTCTCATCCTATAACTCAGTTCTGTTATTAGTAGAAGAGAAATAAGAACATCCCACCTAATTTGCTAAATTTTAAAAAAGCAGAACTGATCCCCATGTTTACCCTGTTTGTTATTGCAGAACCTGCATTTGTCACAGCCAAAGGAAAAAGTGCAGGATGAATACATTGTTCTGGAGACCCAGAAGGAGATGTTCAGAACTGTTTGCATCAGAGTTCTCTTACAGTTTTGTAAAAGCTGGCTTGGTTTGAAAAAGGGGACAAATTCTGTATAGCTTTTTTTTTCTGTTTTACATTTACTGCCATGAATATTTTGAATTCTCTGAAATAAGTATTTCAAATTTCTTTGAGGCAAGTTATGGGAATGAAGACTTACTGGATTTGTACTTTTTCTTGTTTATTTCTTTTGCAATCACAATCCCTGAATTATGCTGGTCATGTTTAGATGTTTGATTCAAAAAAATAAATAAAGTTTGCAATATATAATGTGATCTGTTTTGTCAAGGCCAGCATGCTTTTTTAAAATATTCAGCATGTTTTCTTGCTGAGAGCAAAAATAGCTAGCTCTATCCATAAGCTAGCTCAATAAGCTTAACTGAATTTGAATTTTTTATATAATTATGCATTTTATTCAAATAGCAGCTACCAGTTAGGTCTGTTGTGCTAAGCAATGCATAAGCATGTGGTAAGAGGTTGTACCTGAGTCATAGAATGAATTATCTAGATACTTACCATAATCGACATGAAATAGATTGTATTAGTATAATGCAAATCAGCCTCAGTGGTCAGACAGGGTCCAACATTATTGCAGAATTACAGTGATTTCCTAGTGGTACAAAATGCTATGAGAGAGAATACTTTACAGCAATTTACTTGTTACTTTTGTTTTTATTTATATATATTAAATATAAATACAAAATAATCAGCCTCTTATATATGTGTGTATTTTGAGGCATGTGTGTTGGCATTTTCAGAGATTTCACAATCATTTAAATAATAAATGCTTTAATAATTTTCTAATTCTTGATTTATTTTATATTTGTTACTGTTTTCTTGTGATTCTTTTGTCTTTTTTTAAACTAGTCAAATTATTTGCCAGTAAAACTTCAGAAAAGATATTTTGTACTTCCATATTTGTTCTTCCTCTTCATTTAGTAGCTGCTACAAAACAGTATTATCTTATTACAGCTACACATGCTTAATTTCCAAAGGTCTGTTAGGGCTCTGTTGCTCTTCAATGATCTGCTAGCCCACTCAGAATTTAATGTTCTTCAGCAGCAGCCTTGTTAATCTATTTCTAACTGAGATGAAGAGGGAGACAAGAAAAAAAATCTTTGATGGAGGCACAAAGAAACTTTCAATAGAAAATAGTGATCCACACAATAAATACTGGGAGCAGGGGGATATCAGCCAGATAGTGACAGCTTCATGTTTTAAATAATGCACATTAAAAGTAACTTTGATGATTTAACTACAAAAATACTCTGTGTCCTTCTCTCTTTGTAGGCAAGTGGCATCTTGGGATGAACTGTGAAAGCAGTTATGACTTCTGTCACCACCCCCTCAGTCATGGATTTGATAACTTTTATGGCCTTCCCGTGACCAATTTTAGAGACTGCAAACCTGGCCAAGGCAGTGTATTTTTAAAAGGTGTTCAGAGAGACCTTGTCATCCCAGCCCAAATCACTGGAATCGCCCTTGTGTCTTGGGCAGTAATGCAGTACATTGGCCTTCTCAAAGTACCCTTTCAAGCACTGGGTTACTTCTTGTTAATAATCACAATTTCACTTGTGGTTTTGATTTTTTTCTTCTATCATTTTCGACAATTAAACTGCTTTTTAATGAGAGACCATCAGATTATCCAGCAGCCACTGTCCTATGAGAACCTTACTCAGAGACTCACAAACGAAGCCATGAAGTTTATTGAAAGGTAGGTTTCTAACTGTGTTGTAAGTTAACATTGGCATCTCATGATGACAGTGCTTCCGAAAATTAGGAAAAAAAGTGAGCTGGTGGGCAGAGAGAATATGTCAATATAAATGATTGTAATTTTTTTTCTTTAAAAGATGATGTTAATCTTGTTGGTAGGAATGACTGTTTGGTTTCCTCCTGTCAGGTATGTAGCTAATTTCTCTATAGAAAGGGAAATGTTTTATTCTTAGGAATTTCATGTAAACTGAAATATGACAAATATTTTGTGGTGTGACTTAATTCTGTGAAAGCACAATGCAGGGTCATAATTCATGACTTTTCTAGAATGGGGAGATGTTCTTCATCATTGAGTTGATGCATCCATTAAAAGGCATTCATATGGCTAATTTTTTAAGATGCTGGCATTTTAGATGACTTTTATAACAGTAATTTTGAAAATATTTGATTTTCCAAAATTAGAGTGCTAGCTTCTGCATCTGGGACAGAATAATCCCAGGCACCAGGACAGGCTGGGAGTGACCTGCTGGAAAGGAGCTCTGCGGAGAAGACCTGGGGGTGCTGGTGCACAACCATCTGTCCCTGAGCCAGCAGTGGGTCCTGGGGGCCAGGGAGGCCAGGGGGAGCCTGGGGGGCATTAGGGAGAGCATTGCCAGCAGGGAGGTGATCCTGCCCTCTGCTCAGCCCTGGTGGGGCCACATCTGTAAAGTTGTATCCAGCTCTGGGATCCTGAGGACAAGAGAGACACCGAACTCCTGGAGGAGGTCCAGCAGAGGGCAATAAAATTGATTAAGGGATTAAAGCATCTCTCTTAAGAGAAAGGCTGAGGTATCTGGGCCTGTTCAGCCTCAAGAGGAGACAACTGAGAGAGAACCTCATCACTGTACATAAGTATCTGCAGGGAGGTGTCAAGAGGACAGACCCAGGCTCTGCTTGGTGGTGCCAAGCAATAGGACAAGAAGCAATGGGCAAAAGCTGATGTACAGGGACTTCCAGCTGAACATGAGGAAAAACTTCTTTCTTGTGCAGGTAACAAGAAAGAAGACAGTTAACCCCTCTGGAACAGTTAACCAGAGGGGTTTTGTAGTCTCCCTCGCTGGAGATATTTAAGAATTGTCTGGACATAATCCTAGCCATGTTCTCTGGGATGACCCTGAGGGAGGTTGCGCCAGATGATCCCACTATTATCCCTTCTAACTTTACCCATTCTGTGATTCTGTGAAGCAAAAGGGTGTTTTGAAAACAGTGTTTTTAATTGCCATCATATTGGGCCGCCTAAACATTGGGTTACAAAACCATCCTAAGTCATGATTCATTTTTGCTAGGTCAGTTACTTTGTAATTGTTACCAAAGGGCTCTTAATGGAATTAAGTCAAAAAAGTATACATTTGTATATTCTAAAATAGAAATCAATATATTTACAGAAAAAAAAATTTATTCAATTTAACTTCTGGAAAAAATATGTGTATGTATTTTTCTCCACCACTTTTGACACAAATTATAGCATTTTTAAAAATACTAAATCAAGATAAAATCATATTGTAACATATAGAATTACTATTATCCTGAATTTCTATTCAACACCCCTGAATTACTGTTCTTTAAAGTATGTAGCATTAGTTTCTGTGAATACATGCAAATGGTGTTGTTGCTGGATGAAAACACATACCGGGAATTTGCAGCTAAATTTTGTAGACTTAATGACTTTACAGATCAGCTGCTTCTAGCTGTTAGCAAGAAAAAATGTTTATCTAAAATCTTGATCTCATACTGCAATTTTTTATCATTTCCATCCTTATGAATATTTGATGTGGCTGTTTTTACATATTATACTGAAAAAATGGTTTTTATAACAAATTTCCTTAAATAAGTGTTCCCAACAATCAACATTTCCATAAGTATTTATAAATTAACCATCTTTATTTCCTCTTGGTGATGGGGATAGATATAAAGATGTCTTCTCAGATACATTGTAGATAATTTAACAGTGAAGTACTTGGTTATTACAAACACACGAACAAACACATTTGAAAATTGTTAAAAGATTACTTGCTTAGTGACCAAGCATCTGGTGATTTCAAAAGACACTCAAGTACTTGAACTATTTGTTGGTATATTCTTCCACTATTTGCAAGTATCTGAAGTGCCTTTAGTGATACTGTTATGGGTATCTATTAATGTTTCGCTAATTTCAATGCCATGACATTAAAATGGTTGCCTCAAAATAGGTGAGTTTAAGATGGAAATCGATGGTAGAAAGCTAGTGACTCTTTTAACTGTTATTATTATGTGTAATGTGCACAGTGTTACCCTGTAGATTAGTGCTGCTGTTTGACCCCAGTGTTTAGAGCTGGCAAAATAATGTGTAATCTAAGTCATCATAGCTTTGTTGACCCAGCTAGAGGTAAGTGATTTTACATCATTTAGGCACTTGGCCTCAAATGTCAGTGTAGTTTTCAGACAACAATGATGTTAAATTGAAGTCAAGGTTAATAGCACATATTCATAATTTACAACAAACTTTGTTACAGGAGTGCTGCAATTACAGTGAGAATTATAACCCAGACTCTTCATAGTCAATGTTATATTAGAGAATATCCAAACATGTTAAAGTATTGAGAAGCAATTAGGGCATTTGAGCAATCTTAATTGTGCCCTTTAATGAATATATGCAAAGTATATGACCATAAAACTTACTCTTGGGGATATGAGTAATTGGATTAATATCTGAACTGATCTGCCCCTTGTGTTAGTGTGAGCAACAAAACCAATATTTGCTTTCACACACTAGTTCTGACATGATAGAGTTCATACCAGTAGACCATTGCTCTTATGAATAATCCACTGACTTTGGCCATTTGTAGGCGAATGGCCACCAAGAGGTAACCAGGTTGCAGAAGTGAAGGGCCACAAGTATTTTGAAAGTCACAGTGCTTAGCAGCATACTTGTCATTCCAGTTCTTTCAGCCCTTTAGCCACATGTTTGAACACTGAACTTGTCACACAGTCTCCTTTTCTTTAGCTGACACATTAAGTAGCAAACTCAGTCATGTACGCTGTTAATCCTTGTGTACAATTATACCTGAGGGCAAACAATCCTGAAGTTAAAGAATTCAAGCTTTCACCTTACCTGGTTCTGAATACACATTTCATCATCAAATTAAAATTATCAGATATCATGTGTCTTTTAGTTGGTTAAATAACTTTACAATAAATATACGATGAAGCTCCAATCTTCACCAGCACTGGTATTTCCTGTAAAGCTTTTTTTTTGCTACTTTTATATGCAATGTATATGGACATATATTAATTTTCCAATGTCTTGTCTATGTAAGTTTGTTTGCCTATTGCCTTTATTACCTCTAGAATTTCTTCAGAGTTCAGGTGATGGACTTCCAGACATTCTCTTTTCTAGTTGTTTCTCTGTAATTTTCGGTTTTGTGACTTGTATAAGCATAAGATTCTTCAGAAGGAATAGGCAAAGAAGGAGAGGAAGTGGGGTAGACCTTTATGTTAAGGAATATTTTGATTATCCAGAGCTTAATGATGGTAGTGATAGGTTTGAGTGTTTAAGGTAAGAATCAGGGGATAGGCCAACAAGGTAGACACCAAGGTGGGAGTATGGACCACCCAGACAGGATGAAGAGGAAGACAAGATATTCTGTAAGCAGCTGGGAGAAGTCTCACAATTCCTTTGTTCATGTGGGGGACTTCAGCTTACCAGAGCTAGAAATGCATTGCAGTGGACAAGAAACTGTGTGAGTGGTTCTTGGAGTGTATGGAAGACAACTTCCTGATATAGCTGGTGAGTGAGCCAACCTGAGGAGGTGCTGGACCTGTTCTCTGTGAACAGGGAAGGACTGGTGGGTGCTGTGGTGGCAGGAGGCTGTTTGGGCACAGAGACCACAAAATGAGAGTTTGTGATTCCCAGCAAAATAAGGAGAGAGGTCTTCCACTACTACTAAAATAAGGAGAGAGGTCTAACTACTACCTCAGACTGCTGGATGGCCAATTTTGGCCTGTGATTCTATATAATCATTAGAAATTGTATTTTTAAAGTCTTATAATATCTTCATAGTGTACAGCTATGTGCTATTTTGCTTACTTTGGTCTGATCTTTAGAAAGGTGGTATTGTATTTTATCTTCCTTAATCCAGTGTGTGCATATTACAATTTTTGTTTGTTCCTTAATAGACTGAAAGAGAGCAAATACAAAATTCAGTGCCCAAAAATGGCACTGGAGCAGAATGTATGCAATTACAAGTGTCAGATCTGGTGTGTGAAAACAGGTAGTCGTTTAGTTGCTTACCCTAATTGTCAGTGGGCCGGTCAGCTCTGTGTATGTTAATTCAAATTGCTTTTTCCTGAGAGGAAGTGTTTACATGTCATAAACCTAACAGAATGCTCTGTTGGTATTACAATGTATTTGAAAGTCAAATGGGTGCTACTTATTTCATGTTAAATTCAATGTGGTTGTCACTCATACATCTTCAGCATGCCTTTCAATGACCAGCTGCACAGAAAATCAAATTTTTCAAAATGCCAGGGTCTGTTTTCTGGTGCATCAGAAATTAACAACACAAAAATACCACCCTGTGATACAAAATACCTCTCTGAGAAATTTCTACACCTGATCATAACTAATGATAACATTTTTTAAAAGTCTAATGAAATCTGGTTTCTTGAAAACAGTATTTAAATACTAACATGATTATATTTAAAAACTGTGGTGAAGGTGAATTTGAATCTTCTTGACTAGTTTTACCAGTCATAGATTGCATATGCATAATGTTCAACATTTTATAACAGTTAATAAATTGTAAATTTTCTCCTTATCTAATCTATTTTAGTTCTTGAAACACTGTTGCAACACCTGTTCAAATTCTTTGTTAGCTACTGTAGCAGACTGCGGTTTAGGGTTTTTCCATGTATCATTAGAGTTTTTCCATGTGTCATGTTGCACTGAAGTTACAGGTCTCAAATCCAGTGTTTTTATGAATCCTACAAGAATATTCCTTATAGTTACAGCTAAATAAAAATTATAGAGAAGAATTTGTGTATCTCTGTATGCATATAATGTATATGTGCATATATATTAGAACATGTTGTAACTTACAAGCTCTAACAACTCTACTAGATCTTTGTGCGTTTTCTCCCAGACCTCTGATTATGCCTTGTGAACAAGAAGGTAACAGGAAGGAGGAGTGGGTTCATATAGGACTTTACCAAATCTTTGGATCATTTAAGAATTATTGGGGTCCTCAGTAATTCTGCAGTGATTGGCAGACTGAATGGTCAATGGAACACTTCTAAAACACAGTGTTCTGTATGCTGGACTCCAAAGCTTTGTGGATGAGAGGGTTTAGTTATGAGTTTAGTTTGTGCTAGATCATTTTTTTTTTCTCCATGCTTACAAAATTTTCTTTCAGAGGGGGAGAAAAGGTTGTATAGAAGGGAAATAAAAACATATGTGAAGTGTTTACCTTAAGTATTTAAAGTGAAGTGAAGACACGAAATTGGAAAAGTAGAAGCATCTTATCTATTGGCAGAGAAAATTATTTAAAAAATGCAGATATAGTGGTAAAAAATTCTACTTATAATATCTACTAGAAAGAGTCAGATTTTCTATATATTTACATTTTTCCTTCTCTCTCTGTTACATTTTCAACACCTTTTGTGGTTCGCATAAGTTATCCTCCAGTAGTCTGGAGTTCTTTTTCTGATTTTGAAAAAAACCTGAAAATATGACATCTATGTTTGAAGGTGTATATTTTAAAACAGCAGGACAGAAACATCCATTCATAAATTCATTCAGACTAACAAGAATTTTAGCACTGTTAGCAGTCTGAACAAAGCAAAATCCAGCATATAGAACAGTCCTGCTTTCATACAACTGAGCAAAAATTTGGCTTTTCCTCCTGCAGGAACAAGATTAATGAAGTGTATTCATCCACTGCTATCACAAAGACCACTGTCTTACTGGTGATCTAATCTGGAAGTAGAGGAGGCATCTGTGGGGAATTAGCACTAATTAATTTATCCACTGGGGGGATACTGAATAAGAAGATTTTTTTAGCAGAAGGAAAATGACAGGAAAGGAAATGTTATGTTTCTACCTGCTTGTGTTGACACAGTGGTGATTCACCTAGAGTACTGTGTCAAGGTGTGGCACAGGAAAGATGTGGACCTCTTACAGTCCAGAGGAGAATCAAGAAGATGATCAATGGGATGAGACTCCTTTGAGTTTCACTCCTGAGGACAGGCTGAAAAAGCTGAAGTTGTGCAGCATGGAGAAGGCTCAAGAGAGACCTCACTGTGACCTTCCAGTACCTTGAGGGGGCTTATAAAAGGAGGGAGAGGGAATTTTTATAAGGACAGATTGTGGCAGGTGATAGTTTTAAACTGAAAGGAGGCAGGTTTAGATGAGATCTTATGAAGAAATTCATTACTCTGAGAGTGGTGAAGCACTGGAACAGGTAGAGCAGTTGCAGATGCCTCATGCCTGGAATTGTTCAAGGATTACCTGCTGGTTTTGTTGAGGCCTGGGATACAGTTGGCTTTGTGGGCTGCAAGCGTATATTTTGCCAGCTAATATGGAGCTTCTTGTCAACCAACACCCCAAGTCCTTCTCAGATCTGCTCCCATTACATTGTTCATCCAGCCAGCATTTGTGCTTGGGATTGACATAACTGTGGTGCAGGCCTTTGCACTTGGCTTTGTTGACTTAATTAAATTTTCATGGACTGAAATCTCAAACCTATCCAGGCACCTCTGAGTGGTGTTCCTTCCCTGCAATGTGTCAACTGTGCCACTTGCACAGAAAAGCCAACAATTGCCCAAGGAGTTTTCAGAGCAGCAAGCATTTAAAGCAGATTTGCAGGGAAAAAGTTAAAAGACTTGGGTTTGAAGCACAAAGTCAGATTAGCTTTAATTGCTCTCTCACACACTTTAAAGCTGTTTTTTATAGCTCAAGCCTGAGCTGAATCCTTGAGTAATATAAAGACACCTCACTATACAAAAGAAGAACCCAGTACTTTGCAATGCAGACGAGTTACCAGCAATGTGATGCTTTAAGATGTTTTCAAGATGCATTAAAAGCACCCTGAAGAATATCTTATGTCAGATGTGTGTAATCTCTCTAGCTACTTGATAAATTGAAAAAACTGTGTGACTCATGTGAGGATGAAAAATCTCAAATTTTTTGAAAAGGAGATTCTCTGTGTTTGGGCTGTGCAAAAGATAGTGGAAATACATTTTTGAAAGAGCTGTTTTTTGAAGTGGTTTGGGAGTTAAGCTGTTATTGTCAAATTTCTCTCCTGCCTACTAGCTGGTATTGTCATTCCATTTTCAAGGTCAGAGTAAAGGTATTTAGTCATGATTCTCCTCAAAGTGTTTTGGCAGGAGATAAATAGCTGCCTCTGATCTTTTAGAGGATATTAATGGGTGAGACACTTCTCCACCCGACAGCAAGCTGTCAATCAAAAGCTGTCAATTTTAGTTGGAAAAAAGAGAATGATGTAGTGCCCTTCCATATCAATCATTGATTTGATGACTCTTCATGAAAGTTAGGTCTTTTCTGTGAATTCAACAAACAAAACAAACTTGAATATTATGTCTTGAAAATAACATTTATAATGGAAGCTGTTGATACTTTTAGCAAAGCAAGAAGACAGTTATGAGAATGCAGTGTCTCTATGGCATTAGAACAAGGTAGTTTGCATGAAAGCTAAATATAGCCGGCAGTGTTAAGGTACAAAATAATTTTTGTGTTGTTTTACCGTAGAATTTGTATATTAATTCAGTGAACTGTGTTTAAGGAAAAAGTCAACAATAATCCCAGGAATTAAAAAATGCAAGTTGTAAAACAAAAATCATCTGCCTTGAAGTAAAGTTCTCTAGTGAAAGGTCAGTATTAGATTTATGTATATATTAAATAAGTAACTTTTAAGTGTATGTCTTTTTTTACCTCAATTGGTGATATTTTCAACCTTTTTCATTGACTCAGGGATCTCTTGTTATTTGTTGCTAAAATTGTGAAAAGTTCTCACATATATGACCTTTCAAATAGCAACAAACAACTTCATGGAAAGTGTATCTTTTATGAAAAACATGTCTTAAATGTTTTGGATCAGTACTTTATATTAATAAACTAATACAGGATTTATGCACAAATATTTTTGAGATAATTAAAATATTTTTATTAATCTTCCACATGAAGAACATTGTTTTTCTTCTGAGTTTCCTAAAAAATTATAACTTTTTTATGAAGAAAAAATTCACCATCAGAAACACATTTATCAAGTGATTAATATGGATAAAAAATTATTCTGTGTTTATCTACTACTGTATGTGCCAGTAGAAAAAAAGCTTTAACCATTCAACTTGTGAAAAAAACAGATCCAATCAAGGAGAGAGCAAAATGGATCATAAATATAGTAAATTAAACTTAATTGTTTTTCTTTAAGATGAAAGTATTGATTTCAGATTAATATCTTGTACTAAAAAAACTTTGTTTTGAAGTTCTAAATGCTAGATTTTTTGGCTAATTTTGAAGAAGTGATTTTTATGAGCATGCCTGTGTTGGGGCTCCCCTCTTTAAAGGGTGGATGAACCAATTGCTTGAGTAAATACATGGTCTCCATTTGATGTGGATGTGATTCACAGGTATTAACCACCACAGCTTGGTGGGGGAAACTATGATGAATAAAATTAAAAGTAGTCTGCAATTAGCTGTGGGCTTTAAGGTGAGATCCAGAGAAGTTTTGTGGGTAGTGCTTTTGTGGTTCAGCTGATATTTACAATATGCATAATGTACTGCAAGTGCTGTTAGAGCATATAGCAGTAAATTTGGCTAGGATGGCACAATTTTAAATAAAGTAGTATAAATAATGCATAAGCAGAAGTACTTGTTTGAGCTGTGCTTTCACAGCCTGCTGGAATTGATCATAAATATCCTGTTGACAGATCACATGAACAGCAAAATTTACAGAGAGTCTATTTATTGCACTCTTTCTTTTGTATCTGTTTAGGAAATAGACAGAAGACAATGGAGACTGTTCATTACTCTGAGAACAAAAAGTTTTATATTGGTATGACTTTGAGGTTATATAGAGTCACATGCATACACATACAGAACTTTAAAAGAAAAGAGGTTTGGTCATATACCATAGTCTAGAATAAAGACACAGGTCCCCATAACAGTTTAGTTGATCAGCTTCCATGTGACTTTGTGAGGAAGGAAATTGTGTTTCACGTGGATATGTAGTGCTGAGGGTATGTTTTTGAACAGAAATTGTATTCAGGTGTTTAAAAATATCCTTGTAAAATCTGGAGAGATGTTTGTATATAGAAACTGCTAGATTCCTGCCTTTGAACAGCAAGTCCTTTTCCAATATATATCACAAATGGTATTAAGATAGATGTTGCCATTTATTTTTGCTTTCAATTCAGTAAAAGAGTGGCATTTTTGCTGGGTGTGTGTTTATTCCGAATTATCCTGCAATCAATTACATTATTCCTTTTCACCTTTATTTTTTGTTTTGGTGTTTTTATTGAAGAAAGATTTATTTGTAGAACACTTATTATAAAATACTCTAAGTCTTTGTGGTTTTGTTTTGCTTGTTTTCCAGGAACACTGATACACCATTTCTTCTTTTCCTGTCTTATCTTCACGTCCATACTGCTCTATATGCTTCAGAAAATTTCAAAGGAAAGAGCAAGCATGGTTTATATGGTGATGCAGTGGAGGAAATGGACTGGAGTGTAGGTATGTTACATGCGCTTCTAAAAGCAGTGGAAGGAATTCATGATGGCTTGTGTTCATGTTCACCAAATTGAGACCAGCAATTTGTGTCTATTGAATATCTGTCATACTTGTCCTTTATACTTAGGGAAAAGAAACAGTCATTTAGAAAGCACAATAATCTCAGCTTTTGCAATATCTACTTTATTGCCAAATTTATTGTGTCCTACAAGAGCAATTAATTCCCTTCTTTGTGAAGGTGGTCTATGCAGCATGGACTTAGCGGAGATGTGGACTTCTGAAGCTGAGTAGTTAAATCCAACCCTCTGAGCTTCTGAGTGCATCTTGCATATTCAAATGATTTTTATAAAACAATCTATTACCATGTCTATCAGTGGCGACCAGCATTTAGTCAATTGGGTACTTGCTTTAGATTAAAGAATGCATGTGTTATAATTTCTGTTTGCATCCACATTGTAGCAATCCAGTGGACATTAGCTCGTTTTACTGTCTGTGTTTGATTTCCTGTTTTTTGGGTTTTTTTTTTTCCTCTTGTGTATTATTTACTTTATTCCAGCCTAATTGTTTTGTTGTTTTTTTTTTTTTTGCTGCTGCCATTACATTTTGCTATTTCCTTGCTGCAAAGGAAGGAAAGTCTCCAGAGAGAGTCTCTAGAGTTTCAACAGCAAGTTGGAAAGCAGGGTAGCTGACATGCTGCTGTTTCAGGCTATTTAGTGATGCAGAGGTGGTAACAGGTTGAAAACCACTGCTCTTTTCCAGAATGACCACAAGTTCTTAGGAGATGTGTCAAATAAACCAACTGTAGGACAGAAGCATGCTATTTAAAAAGCTTGGGCTAAATCAGGGATTCAAGTTTAATGGTGATAATATTGGAAATTAGAACAAATTTAGAGAAGATACACAAGATTCCTCGGGTATTGTCCTTTTCTGGTCATTACACAAGCATCAGGGACAATAGAGCCAGCTTAATCAGGAAACAGATCCACAGATGTCATTTGCTAGTATAAAAGTAACAATTTTTTTTTCAGTTGGTCTCAGTTTTGGTTGTGTCTTGTAAGATCTTGATGAGAGATGGCATATTTGTTCCAGCATGTAGAAAATAATGTTTAGTTCCTCTGCTACTTTCTTCTCCATTATTAGCCTGATGAAAAAAAAGAAAAGTCATGGCTGTCATTTCCAAATGAATCTGGAAGAATAATATATATTTTTTTTTTCAGCTGAAGGGAGTACTTATTTCCATTAACCTCCACTGAAAAGTCCAGTTTTAATGCATCAGCCATGTCAGAGAAAGTAGATTGATTCACTGTACTGCTGATGTCAGTAACCAGTATGTTCTTGAAAATGCCTCTGAAGAGTCTACAGTAGAAAAAGTTCTTAAAAAATTGTCTAGAAAAGATGAAAAAGTGGATACTGTGAGCTTTTCAGAAATGGAGGTTTTATCATTCATTTGACAAAAATTAGTATTTATGCATAGATGAATGTAACTTGCAAGAGCAGTAAGAACAATATAGCCCAGATACAACACTATGCTGCAAGACTTCCTAAGTAAAGAAAATACGGCATATGAAGAAAACATGAGTGTATTGAAAACTACATTATAGAACAACATCAGAAATCTTTGACCTTTGGTAGGAAAAATACATGAATTTTCACTGAGTTCTAAAAGAAATTTACAGTGTTTTCTGCTGACTGAGTCATGTTGTGGAAGACCCTTGTGGATGAATAAAAAAAAAGGAGTAGAAAAGGAGTAGAAGTTGCAAGTAGAAGTACTACCAGGTACCAGTGATGACATAAAGATTGAACAATGGAATGCAACTGAAATATTTTTCCTTATTTGAGAAGTCAGATGGAATCAGAAAGAAATTAGGTGCCATTTCCAAGAGAGAAAGCAAAAGCTTTTCTTGTAAGATGGAAAAGTCCACTCAAGACTCAAAATTCTAAATACAAAACAGTTCCATTTTCATTTGTTTATTTATTGAAAATCAGTACCAAATAGGACAACTATTCAATTTTAAGGCAATCATTATGCTAGGAGGAGAAAAGCCCAAAAGACACATGAATAAAATACTTTTTTGAATATTTCATGTTTGTGACTTGTTAAACCAACACTGAAGATTATGATTACAATCCACGTCAAAAATTCAAAATACAGAGCCTCTTGATAAGCTTTGGGACCATGTATGTCTATTGCTTTTTCATACTGATGTATGTATAACAGAATTCAATGTTGAAAGCATTCACAGTTATAATGTCACTGCATGTGACATGCCTTAGAGAATTATTCTCTGGCTAATAACATTAATTTTCTTTCAATGTAGGCTAAGCACCTTATTAATTCTATTAATTATAATTCATATGAGAGAAGATGAAATAATCTTACAGTCTAAAAATGAAAAAAGAAATGATGAATGAATCAATGAATGCACTATCATCCTTTTCTTCCTTCCTGTATTCCCTTCTTTAATTCCTTCATTCCTGATTGAGTATAGGAAGAAAAATGGATATGCTCAGAAATTGTTTTTGATGTAAATTGCATTCCACTAATTTAATCCAAAACAGATCACTGCAAAGAGTTTTGGAGCCCCCTGTAGACTTGCAAGCTGTGTGAAGACACTAATCCAACGCCACTTTTGCAAATGGCTGGTTATTATTTTGTTAGCAGCAGCAGAACTACATATCAGGTCTTCTTCCATTGTAGGTCAATCCCAACTGAAAGGTTTAGATGTAAAAAAGTCTCAGAAATTGTGGTCTGTCACATACTAGGTAACTGTAAAGTGGGGGCCTTGTCTGGATGTCTTTGTTATATGAATGTCCTCAAAGCTGAAAAACCTAAACTGCCTCTCTCCCATGGTCTTTTGACCTGTCTTATGATCTAGTTAGTATTACAAGAAAATATTATAAGTCATCCGATATTAGTTATTTAGAAGGAAAGGGAAAGGGGAAGGGGAAGGGGAAGGGAACATCCCAAACCATCTTAAATTTAACTTTTATTTTAAATACCTTAAAAGATTGTATAGAATTTTATGGGAAGCGTGTTTTTTATAGGAATATGTTCCCAGTACCACTGAACAGTGTCCTGAAAGTGTTTGTAAGAAAGACTAGAGCAATTTTTAATAGAAAAATCTGGGAGAGCTGTGACTGAAGCCCTATTCAACCTGGAGAAGAGAGTATCTTATTGACCTGAAGGAAGGGTGTAAAGAGAATGGGCCCAGGCTCTTCTCATTTGTGCCCAGTGGCGAGAAGAAATAGGCACAAATTGAAGCATGTCAGGTTTCCTCTGAGCATCAGGGAAAACTTTTTTACTCTGAGGATGATCACATGCTAACCCAGGTTGCCATAGGGGCAGTGAACTCTGGAGATGGTCCAGGGCTCCAAGTGGCCCTGTTTAAGGAGCAAGCTTAGGCAAGGTAGCCTCCAGAGGTCCCTTTCAACATAAATCATTCTGTGATTCTGTGAGATGCTGGAGAAAACAAAAAAACCAAAAAACAATCATTTAACTAAAGTCAAATCATATTTGAAACAAAATAAAATACAACCTTTAAAAGTCAGTGTAGAGAAACAAAGGAACTCTGAAGCAAAGAGAAGCAAGATACTGTCATGATACTCTCCTCCTCTGCTCTTCTCTAGTGTGACCTCACCTGGAGCAGTGCATCCAGGCCCAGAGGAAAGCCACAGAAATGGTCAGAGGTCTGGAAACAATTCTTCTCTGAAGAAAGGCTGGAAGAGCTAAGGTTCTTTAACCAGGGGAGCTGAGATTGTTTAGCCTGGGGAGGGAAAGGTTCCAGGGTTATTGCTGCCTGTCAATATATAAAGGGGGCCTATAAAAAAGGTGGAGAGGGACTTGTTGCCAATGACTGTGTAGACAAGACAAGGGGCAGTTTTAAACTGAAAGAGAACAGGTTTAGGTTAGTTAGAAAGTAATTGTTTGTGATGAGGGCAGTGAGACACTAGACCAAGTGGCCCAGAAAAGCTGTGGGTCTCCCATCACTGTCAGTATTCAGGTTCAGGTTGTACAGGGCTTGGAGTAATGTGGCAGGGAGATTGGACTGTATGATCTTTGAAGATCCCTTCCAATATAAGCCAATTTTTGATTCTCCATTACTAGAGTGATTGACAAATTTTAAGGATGCTGATGACATCTTGAGTAGATTTTCCTTACAAGGAAATAATATCCCATAGTTTTGTTTTTTTTAAGTAAAAGTAACTATGGAATTAAACCTTAGGTATCTGAAGAAGTTGAACCTCACATGAGGAACATTTATGACTTGTTGGAGCATTTGCAATACTCTGCAACACAACTCTCTGGGGTGACATATAGCCTGTACTGAAACGTAGCAAGACAGATGTAAAGCATACTTTCTTCACTGAGGAAGGACAGCTGGGGTACAATCTAGGAGGACTGTCTGAAAGTCAGACCACTTTTCAACTTTTTTTTTTTTATTCCACTGTTATCATTATTAAGAATTTTCTATAAATACATATCTTCACAAAGCGCTTTCAAAGACGAATAGAAGGGCAGAAACTCCACCAAACCAGCACCAGACTTTTGTGAAAAACATCTAATTTACTTATTCCCTAATGAGATTTCCTAGTGTTATAAAAGAGATTATATCAGTAATATAATATGTGCACGACTAAGCTGTGGTTCCTAATGTCTATACCACCCAATTGTGAGATGATGAAAACTAAATTCTTACACAGTTTAATCTGATGAATTTTTGCATGATTAAATAGTTAATATGCTAAGTATGTGACCTTGATCACATCCTTTCCTTTAATCTTTTTTCTGTTCTGGAATGATGTAAATGAAAGGTCTAAGTGAAAACCATTCCAATTTATTATAAACTATTTTTAATGACCCCTGTGGCATCTTTCTCTCTTTTTAGTAATAGATGTAACACCAAGTAAATGAAAATAATGGTTTCAGACGCAAAACAAAAGTTACTTTGGAAAATCTAATATATTTAGGAGACAGAAAACTGAACTATGCCCAAAAGACTCAT